ATTCCTGTTTCTAGTTTGAGTACTACTGCTTTGTGATCACTTTCTGTTATTAACGACATATCTACTATCTTTTTTTGTATTATGTTTCTTGCCCAGAGTTTATCAACCCATATTGTATCTATTCTGGATCTTGACTTCTGATTGCTCTATATCGCTATTTTCTCTTCTAGATTTGTTTCTCTCCATGCATCTACCAAGCCTTTTAATTCTATCTCCTCTATGATTTTTTCTTTTGTGTTTTTCTTTGTGCTTGATGCTTGGTTTACTGCAATATTGCTAAGACTCGTATTAAAGTCTCCCATTATTACAAATCTCTGTTGCTTCTTTCTATTGCTTGTATTTGTTCTTTTCTTTATATACGTCTTTATCTGTTCATGCACCTTCTGATCATTTGGTGCTATATATACTACTATGATATTGATCGTGATTCCTCTGAAGTCTAGTTCTATGTTGATACTGTATGGGCTCTCTTTGGATACCTTTGCTACGTGTTTTTCCCATTGTTTATCAATCAGGATGCCAACTCCTGATTCTTTTTTCTTTTGTTCTTCTGCTGCTGACCAATATGCAGCGTAGTACTCTTGCTTTTTAATTAGAAATCTTCCTTCCTTTTTGGATAGGTTTGTTTCTGCTATTCCTAAAATGTTAATATTCTTATCTTTCATAAAATCTATAATTGATTCTACCCTGTTTTTGCATGTTTTGATGCCGTTAATATTGTGGAATCTAATTTTTAACATATCGAAGTTTTGGATCTTGTTTTTGCTTGTTATATTTCCCTTCCCCTTTCTTTTATATATGTCTATTTGCTGATCGAAGACTTCTTTTTTCTCATTGTTGTATCGATTCTGAGGGCTTTTGCGAAAGGGGCCAGTCTTCTGATCAGTTTTCTGAGATTCAACTAGGGCACCTTTTAGGAGCGCTGAGCAGGCACTGCCTGCTCATTGCTTATACTATCTAATCTTCTTAATATTTCTTTAAGTATTATTTGATGCTTATCAATTCTGCTTATAATGCTGGAGTCTGCTTTTCAGTTATTTTGGCTTCGATTTCTTTTATCCTCTTTGTGTTTTTCTCTTGTCTCTTTCTTGTTTTTCTGCATTTTCTTCCTTCTTGTCATATGAAGTTTCTCTCCATTTACTTTTGTAAAGGCTGCTTTTGATTGTCGAAATCTTCCTCTCTATATATTTCTTTCTAGACTTCATAAGCAGTTGTCATATCTGCATTCCTGTTCCCAGTTTAGTATCCAGTTATTATACCTGACTGGCTTATTAATTGCTTTTTCTAAGTCAGACTCATTTTCAAAAGTGATGATTGCTGCTTGCTTTATTCGGCCATTTCTTTTTCTTGGAATATATACTGCCTTTGCTCCTCTTTCTTTAATACAGCCTAGTAATAATGTTTCTGAAGCTTCTTCTGGAATGCCTTCTAGTTTTATAGTGTGTTTAAAGTGACTGCTCATTTCTTCTCTATTTTCTTTACCTTTAGAAACTCGCGCTAACCTTCCATTTTCTAATAGTAGGACCCAAGGCAGCTTGTAATCCTTCACATTAAACCCTAGCTCTACCTCTGCTACCATTCTAAATTCTGTTCTTTTAATCTTGATGTCTTCCAGTCTACCAAACTTTCTGCACATATACTGAACTTCTTTTGTGCTAGTTGATTTTGGTAGATCCCAGATAGTAATATATCTGGTGCATTCTGTTCTGCCTTCTTCGTATTGTTTTTCTTTTCTTTTCGGTTCTTCATAAAGGTCTCTTCTTTTGAAGGCTTGCAGTTCTTCTTCTTGTTGCCTACTTCTCTCTTTTTTATAATTTTCCCTTCTGCTTCTTCAGCTGGGTTTTTGTTCTTCATTGTCCAATTCTGGAATGAGCCAAAGCCAGTCTCCTTCTTTCTTTTCAATTCTTTTGATTGCATTTGTTCTGCTATACTCGCAATCGAATTTTACTTCTATCCAACTATTTCCATTTCTGAATACCTCTTGTATTGATTTCATATGTTTGTCTTTATTTAAGATACCTTCTAAATTTGCAACTCTTTCTTCAGGCGTGTTTCCTGGTACTTTGCATGCATGTGCTTTTGCCACAAATGATTTATCACCTTCACATATTCTGTTATCTGGTGACCACATGCTGCATTCTATTGGATCTTATGCTATCTCTGCTACTGAGTTTTGTTGGTTTCTTTTTCCGATTTCTTGTATCTCTTTTCTAATGCTTTTAATCTCATCTCTCGCAATTCTTTCTATTAGTGCTTCTTTATCTTTTTTGGTTTTTTTCACTTCAATTTCTTTCTCTTTAAGCCAGTCATATGAGCTTGCACCTGGGCCTGAGATTACTATACTTTCTTCTTCTTCTTCTTGTTCATCTCCCTTTCTCTCACTTTCAGTTTGTCGAATTGGTTCTTTTACATTTCTTTCTTTCGATTCTATTTTTTTTTCCGGTTCTTCTTCTTCTTGTCTTCTTTTTTTCGACTCTTCTATTTGCATGTTTTCTTCTTCTTCTGTTTTCATAATTCCTTCCATTTTGTTACTTCTCTTTTCAATTTTTTCTTTGCTCAATTCGGCCATATATTCAATTAACTTCGGGTTTTGGCTTACCCATCTGGCCTTAATTGTCTATTTTTCTATTTGGCCTTCTTCTATTTTCTGCATTCGGCTTCACTTAATGCTGTACATAATCTTCCATATGCGATTAATTCTGAGTCTGTGATCTTGTCTAAATCTTTTATCGTTAAACTTTTTGCTATATATTCTATATCATTTGGTGTACTAACTGACACTTCCTTAGTAAGTTTTTCTAGTTGTGTATCCATCATGTATTTTGATGCTGCTGCACATCTACTCTCTATGAAGTCATAAAG